GGTCTGTGTGTGAAAACAAATCACTGGATACACAAAGCTAATTGGGCATGTACCTAGCTGTGTAATGCAGAGTGGCACATACGGTTTCCCTCTTACATCAAACTAATGAGTTCAAGGAGACTAAATGAGAATACCGTAAAATATAAACCACCTGCTCGCTGAAACAAAAGGCAGTACGTCAAAGGCAAATATATATCCATATCGGAGGCATTTCACAAACTCATTTTGCTAAAGCAAAAAAATACTTTTGTAAGTTTGCCAACTAGACAATTGAGACAGCCAAGTGAAGACAGAATTATAACTCACTCGTTTTCAAAGCAATTGCTGCCAAGATGTGAACTAAGCATACTTCACAGGCTACTCTAGGATAAAAAGGAATAAGACAAATAATAGCTGAATGGAAAAAATATAAAAGAAAGCAAAGCTTTATAAATTGATTTGTAATTTATGGGAACAAATCTCCCATTTAGAGCTCTTACTCTGCAGTGTTTAAAGGAACATTAAACATTTCAATCAATGTCTTTGCAGAATAGGTTAACCACCACTTTTTTCATCAGCTTGTTTTGGCCACTTGGTGTCATACAAAAATGATTTTGTTTTCAAAATACACTGCTCAAAAAAATAAAGGGAACACAAGAATAACACATCCTAGATCTGAATGAATTAAATATTCTTCTGAAATACTTTGTTCTTTACATAGTTGAATGTGCTGACAACAAAATCACACAAGAATTTAAAAATGGAAATCAAATTTTTCAACCCATGGAGGTCTGGATTTTGATTCACACTCAAAATTAAAGTGGAAAAACATACTACAGGCTGATCCAACTTTGATGTAATGTCCTTAAAACAAGTCAAAATGAGGCTCAGTAGTGTGTGTGGCCTCCACGTGCCTGTATGACCTCCCTACAATGCCTGTGTATGCTCCTGATGAGGTGGCGGATGGTCTCCTGAGGGATCTCCTCCCAGACCTGGACTAAAGCATCTGCCAACTCCTGGACAGTCTGTGGTGCAACGTGACATTGGTGGATGGAGCAAGACATGATGTCCCTGATGTGCTCAATTGGATTCAGGTCTGGGGAACGGGCGGGCCAGTCCATAGCATCAATGCCTTCGTCTTGCAGGAACTGCTGACACACTCCAGCCACATGAGGTCTAGCATTGTCTTGCATTAGGAGGAGCCCAGGGCCAACCGCACCAGCAATCTTGGTGTTCTCTGGCAAATGCCAAACGTCCTGCACGTGTTGGGCTGTTAGCACAACCCCCACCTGTGGAGGTCAGGCCCTCATACCACCCTCATGGAGTCTGTTTCTGACCATTTGAGAAGACACATGCACATTTGTGGCCTGCTGGAGGTCATTTTGCAGGGCTCTGGCAGTGCTCTTCCTGTTCCTCCTTGCACAAAGGCAGAGCTGCTGAGTTGTTGCCCTCCTATGGCCTCCTCCACATCTCCTGATGTACTGGCCTGTCTCCTGGTAGCGCCTGCATGCTCTCGACACTACGCTGACAGACACAGCAAACCTTCTTGCCACAGCTCGCATTGATGTGCCATCCTGGATGAGCTGCACTACCTGAGCCACTTGTGTGGGTTGTAGACTCTGTCTCATGCTACCACTAGAGTGACAGCACCGCCAGCATTCAAAAGTGACCAAAACACCAGCCAGGAAGCATAGGAACTGAGAAGTGTTCTGTGGTCACCACCAGCAGAACCACTCCTTTATTGGGGGTGTCTTGCCAATCACCTATAATTTCCACCTGTTGTCTATCCCATTTGCACAACAGCATGTGAAATTGATTGTCACTCAGTGTTGCTTCCTAAGTGGACAGTTTGATTTCACAGAAGTGTGATTGACTTGGAGTTACATTGTGTTGTTTAAGTGCTCCCTTTATTTTTTTGAGCAGTGTATATATATATACCTGTTACTGAAACATTATACTTAAATAGGGAATGCCTGGTGTAATATCATATATACAAACAACATTCTAAAAATGCACTATAACCACTAAAGCATGGTATCAGTAATTTTAGCATGACTATTTGACAATTTCTTGGTTACTGCCGCACTCAGTCCTCTCCCGCAGGAGAAGCTGGATGTCACTTTATAGAGCAAAGCAAAACTGATGCAGCATCATTGGCCAAGAGGATCAACTCTCTCTATAAAGACATCCTTTTGCTGGAAAAAACATCATATGAAAGTCTTCCATTAGAACTCAGGACTTACCCTTTTTAAAACAAAGTGAAAAAGGAAAAACCACTATGAAAACAGTGATTATCTAGGAAACGTCTGTCAATATTTTTGTGTACCGTCAAAATATATTTTAATATAATGTTAAACAAAAATCTGCACACCAGTTAAGCCATAAGACTTGCTTTTCCTGCAGAAATCACAAATTTGCAAAAGTGGGCATATTCAAATTAGTTCAACAAAGAATCACATTTTTGCCTCATTCCATTTTAAACATGGATTCCTTTGAGTCTGCGTTTGCTGTATACAACAGCTTTGAAACACAACTTAGGAAAAGATGCAAAGCCAGTGAACCACTCATGGACAGCTGTTTCATTGTTAATACAAATTATCAGCATGAGGTTGGTTACTGGCTTTCTAGTGAAGCTAGGCAGTGCTTGTGAAGCAAAAACCAAAAATGGTATGGAGGGGGAAAATTGTGATTGAAAACCCCTCCCACCTGAAGTCTGTGGATAGTTAATACATTGTATTAACTAAACAAAGACTAATACATCGCATTAGTCAATACATTATATTAACTATCCACAGACTTCAGATGGAAGGGTTTGTCAATCACAATTTTTCCCCATCATACCTTATAGCCAGTAACCAACCTCATGCTGATGATTTGCATTAACAATGAAACAGCTGTCAACGAGCAGGGCCAGATTAACATAGGGGCTGATGGAGCTGCAGCTCCAGGCCCAGGCCCAGGCCCAGGCCCATGGAATAGGCCCATTGATTTAAAAAAAAAAATTTTTTCACACACTTCTCTTAGGGATTCCTCCTGGCTTTTATTTTATTGGCACAGCCAGTATTTGAGGCTGCCTGTCTGGTGCCAATATTGCAGTGATACTGGCAATACAAATACTGGTATTTTTTTCAGTATAAACAAGAGATTACTATGCAATACCAGCACTGGCCAGTAGGGGTCGCTATATGTGGAGACAGGCAGGGATAGGAAGTTCCAGCATTTCCCTCCCTGCCTATCTATACTCACTGATCTGAGGGGTGCAGCTACAGAGAGTCCAGACAGCAATTCCCACCCTGCAGAGACAGCCTACAGCTCAGGGAAGTAAGGGATGGGGAAAAGGCTGCAAGGAGACATACAACCACTCATGAACAGGGCCAGATTAAGAGCCCAGTGGGCCTGGTGCTGACAATTATGACAGGCCTAATTACAGAATCATATCGACCAAAAAGAGTAAAACACTCCCAAGCGTCATGTATCTGATGGAGATGGTGCTGGAGAGAAAGAAAACAGCAGCTATAAGAAAACACATACCCTAGGTTAATCTCTCTCTAATTTATGTTTTCATCTTTCAAGTAAATCCATAACCCCTAACAGCAGTGTCCAGTCAAGCAGGAAGTCAATGGGCATGGTAAAAGGGTGTGCCAATGACACAAATCACGTAACCTGCCAAAAGGGGTGAACATGCCCAAAAAGAGGACATGTCTGCCCAAAGAATTAGGAATTAGAAGAGGACATGTCTGCCCATGAATGCATGTCAGGCTGCCTGCCAATCATGCAGCTGGCCAACTAAGGGCATACTATGCAGACAGCACCCTGAGCTTGGCATAAATGCATCTAATGATGCGCTCACTCAACGCTTTCTAAGGACTGTTCCCTAGCACCCGCTGGTCCACTTGTCTCCTTACCTTCTTATTAGCAGACAGAAGCTCCTGGTATATAGTCTGTGAATGAGAAAAGCTGTATGTAGTGAGTGTAGAAGAAAGGGAACATGCCACAGTGTTAGAGAGACCAAAGTCAGCATTACCTTAAAGGATCACAAGAGGGTCAGGAACACAAACATGAATTCATGACCCTATAGTGTTAACACTACCATCTAGCCCCCCGGGGCCCCTCATGCCTCCATAAATATAGCAAAATCTTACTATATTCAAACCTGAAGCTGTAACTCTGCATGCTATTAGACTCATAAAAACAAGCAGTCTGCTGACATCATTAGAAGTGGTGGCCTGATCCAATCACAGTGCTTCCCCATAGGATTGGCTGAGACTGACAAAGAGGCAGATCAGGGTCAGAGCCAGCATGATTCAAACACAGCCCTGGTCAATCAGCATCTCCTTATAGAGATGAATTGAATTAATGAATCTCTATGAGGAAAGTTCAGTGTCTGCATGCAGAGGGAGGAGACACTGAATGTTTGGATGCATTTTAGGCAGCCATGGCCCAGGAAGGATCTCTAACAGCCATCTAAGGAGTGGCCAGTGAAGTTATCACTAGGCTGTAATGTAAAGACTGCATTTTTTCTGAAAAGACAGTGTTTACAGCAAAAAGCCTGACGGTAATGATTCTACTCACCAGAACAAATTCAATAAGCTGTAGTTGTTCTGGTGACTATAGTGTCCCTTTAACTATATTCATTGTCAGCCAGTCCACACAAGTTTTGTTCCCATACATCCCACTTAAGTTTCCATACTTAAGTAAGAGTATGTGAAAAGTAGTTAGGGTTGCCACCTTTCTTGGAAAAACATACCGGCCTTACTAATTTGCATAATTAAATATGTATGGGTGACATCACATGATGTAAATCACAAGGAGTGACATAAGAGAAAATTCTGTAAAATCACCAAAAAACTACTTAGTTTGATTCTGCTGTATATATGGATTCCTCCCAGTGCCCCCATGTCTCCCAGTGCCCTCATGACTCAGTGCCCCATGTGTCGATTACTCCAAGTCTCAGTGTTCCCATGTATCAGTGTCTCAGTGCCCCATGTCTCCCAGTGTCCCCTAGTGTCGTGTCCCCAGGTCTCCCAGCAGTGGCGTACACAGGACCCATGGGGCCCCGGTGCGAAAATTGATCCGTGGGCCCCCCCCCCTCCCTCCTTTCCCTCCCCCCCCGCGCGCGGGCCGCAACACATGACGGTGGGCACCTGGTCGCAGAGGTTACAGGGCTGCGACCCCTGCGATCGCGGTATGTACGCCAGTGCATGCAGATGCACACACACTTAAAGGACCACTCTAGGCACCCAGACCACTTCAGCTTAATGAAGTGGTCTTGGTGCCAGGTCCAGCTAGGGTTAACCCATTTTTTCATAAACATAGCAGTTTCAGAGAAACTGCTATGTTTCTGAATGGGTTAAGCCTTCCCCTATTTCCTCTAGCGGCTGTCTCATTGACAGCCGCTAGAGGCGCTTGCGTGCTTCTCACTGTGATTTTCACAGTGAGAGCACGCCAGCGTCCATAGGAAAGCATTATGAATGCTTTCCTATGTGACCGGGCTGAATGCGCGCAGCTCTTGCCGCTGCGCATACAGCCGACGGGGAGGAGAAGAGGATCGGAGGAGGAGAGCTCTCCGCCCAGCGCTGGAAAAAGGTAAGTTTTACCCCTTTTCCCCTTTCCAGAGCCGGGCGGGAGGGGGCCCTGAGGGTGGGGGCACCCTCAGGGCACTATAGTGCCAGGAAAACGAGTATGTTTTCCTGGCACTATAGTGGTCCTTTAAAGGACCACTACAGACACCCAGATCACATCAGCTCAATGAAGTTGTCTGGGTGTCAGGTCCCTCTAGTTTTAACCCTGCAGCTGAAAACATAGCAGTTTCAGAGAAACTGCTATGTTTCACTAGGGTTAATCCAGCCTCTAGTGGCTGTCTCACGGACAGCCGCTAGAGGAGCACACTGAACGTCCATAGGAAAGCATTGAGTAATGCTTTCCTATGGGCGGTTTGAATGCGTGCGCGGTCGCATTCGGAGCTGAGAGGCTGAGGGATCCTCAGCGCCAAGGGAGTCCGGCGCTGGAGAAAGGTAAGTGCTGAAGACACACACACTCTCACTTACAGACGCATACACACTAGCTAACAGACACACACATTTACTGACAGAGACACAGTCAGCGACAGACATACATACACACTCACTTACAAAACATACACCCTCATTGACAAACACACACTCACTAACAGACATCAAACAGACTCACTAACACACACACTCAGTAAGACACACACAGTAACACACACACTAACTCTAACACACACACACACTAACACTAACTAACAGACACACACACTAACACTACTAGCAGACACACACACACTAACACTAACACTCACTAGCAGACACACACACACTAACACTCACTAGCAGACACACACACACTAACACACACACTAACACTCACTAGCAGACACACACACACTAACACACACACACTCACACTAACACTCACTCTCACACTAACACTAGTTTTTTTTTTTAAATGTAATCCCCCCAGCCTCCTTACCTTTTGGAGTGCTGGGGGGATTCCCTGGGGTCCAGTGGTGCTGCTGACCCCGGCGGGCGGGTGGCCGGTCGGGAAGGCGGGCGCGCGAGGGAGCACTCAGTGCTTCCTCTTCAGCTCCCTCGCGCGCCGCATAGGGATGCCGGAGGCGGAGCCGGAAGATGACGTCATCTTCCGGCTCCGGTATCATTAAGGTGCGCGAGGGAGCTGAAGAGGAAGCACTGAGTGCTCCCTCGCGCGCCCGCCTTCCCGACCGGCCACCCGGTGACAGCAGGGCCAGCCTTGGGGGGCCCTGGGGTGGTCGGCTCCTGGGCCCCCCAAGGGAAGAGGCTGGCCCTGAGCGTACATACCGGGTCGCAGGGGCGGCCGGGCCCCCTGGTGGGCCGGGCCCGGTCGCAGCCGCGACCCCTGCGACCCTGGTATGTACGCCACTGTCTCCCAGTAATCCTATGTATCACAGTGTCTCAATGCCCCATGTCTCCCTGTGTCCCCATGTATCCCATGGTCCCCATGTCACTAGGACACTAGGAAGACAGGGAGACCAGTGACACTGGGAGACTAGGGGACTCTGGATGGGACACATGGGGACAATGGGAAAATAGGGGACACTTGAAGACATGGGGACACAGACACCAGGGACACAGACACTAGAGACACTGGCTGGGGGACATGGGGACATTGAGACATGGGGGCACTGGGAGACATGGGGACACTGAGACACCAGGGCCACAGACACTAGGGACACTAGCTTGGAGACATGGGGACATTGTGACACTTGAGGCACTGAGAGACATGGAGGCACTAGGAGACATGGGGACAGTGAGACACTGGCAGACTGGGAGACTAGGGGGCACTGAGACACCAGGGACACTGGCTGGGAGACATGGGGACACTGTGTCCCCATGTGTCTGTTTCATAATGTCTCCCAATGTCCCTTAGTGTCTCAGTGTATGTCTCCTTGCAGCCTTTCCCCCCATCCCTTACTTCCCTGAGCTGTAGGCTGTCTCTACAGGGTGGGAATTTCTGTCTGGACTCTCTGTAGCTGCACCCCTGCAGATCAGTGAGTATAGATAAGCAGGGAGGGAAATGCTGGAACTTCCTATCCCTGCCTGTCTCCACATATAGCGACCCCTACTGGCCAGTGCTGGTATTGCATAGTAATCTCTTGTTTATACTGAAAAAAATACCAGCATTTGTATTGCCAGTATCACTGCAATATTGGCACCAGCCAGGCAGCCTCAAATACTGGCTGTGCCAATAAAATAAAAGCCAGGTGGAATCCCTAAGAGAAGTGAGTGAAAATTTTTTTTTTTTTAAATCAATGGGCCTATTCCATGGGCCTGGAGCTGCAGCTCCATCAGCCCCTATGTTAATACGGCCCTGCTCACGGACAGCTGTTACATTGTTAATGCAAATCATCAGCATGAGGTTGGTTACTGGCTATAAGGTATGATGGGGAAAAATTGTGATTGACAAACCCTTCCATCTGAAGTCTGTGGATAGTTAATATAATGTATTGACTAATGCAATGTATTAGTCTGTGTTTAGTTAATACAATGTATTAACTATCCACAGACTTCAGGTGGGAGGGGTTTTCAATCACAATTTTCCCCCTCCATACCAATTTTGGTTTTTGCTTCACAAGCACTGCCTAGCTTCACTAGAAAGCCAGTAACCAACCTCATGCTGATGATTTGCATTAACAATGAAACAGCTGTCCATGAGTGGTTCACTGGCTTTGTATCTTTTCCTAAGTTGTGTTTCAAAGCTGTTGTATACAGCAAACGCAGACTCAAAGGAATCCATGTTTAAAATGGAATGAGGCAAAAATGTGATTCTTTGTTGAACTAATTTGAATATGCCCACCCAGAATCCTTTTCGGTAGTAACATCACTGCAAATTTGTGATTTCTGCAGGAAAAGCAAGTCTTATGGCTTGACTGGTGTTCAGATTTTTGTTTAACATTGTATTAACTATCCACAGACTTCAGGTGTAAGGGGTATTCAATCACAATTTTTCCTCACCATACCTTTTTGTTTTTTTTGCTAAATATATATACAGTGGGACCTCGGTTTACAAACGCCTCGCTTAACATAATTTTCGTTTTACAAATGAAAATCCATTGAAAATAATGCCTCGGTTTACAAAAAAATTTCGCAATACAAAGCAAGTTTCCCCATGATGCATTTCACCTGGGAGGTTTATAGCACCGCCCCCTGAATGCTAGAGCCTGTGGGTAGCATGTGGTGTTGAGTGTGGAGGTGTTGGAGCGGTTTTTGCATCGAGTTTTCGAGCCATTCTGGAAATTGATTGCAGTTGTTTTGGGACTTTTTGGTGCATTTCTCAAGCTGTGGAAAGGTAGGGAGCTGATCTTCATCTTTTGCATGCCTGGTATGCTTGCTTTTCACATACATACCGGTCATTAGATAATTCTGCTAGCACACACTCTTAAATTCTCTTAACTTTTTTTTTTTTTTTCAATTCTTTATTTTTTCTCAACAGACATAGCAAGTTAACATCGACTTTTGGGCTTACGCATAAGCCAACTTAACAATATTTGGAAACATAATGTAGATTGACAAATACAATATATGCTCTTTCCTTAAAAAAAAACCATCGGCACTTGCCGTCTACTCAGGATTTTATATTTTTATATTCTATTACGAACTTTATATTCACATAAACATATCCTATGCCCATTCCCTTTTTGGGCTGATAAAGAAGTTGATTAAGTTACAATTCCTTTGGTATTATTGAAAAAACTCTAAGCGTGCTGTATCATTGACATCTGCCGGTTATGGAGATATCTTAAATTCTGTAATTTCCGTAACCGTATCAGGTATTTAATCACTGCTGGGCTTATGTATAAGCCAAATAATTTCTGTTCCATATAAGTGCAATAAAATATTGTTCAACTTTATCATTGTGAGCCCATTTCTTATTGTATGTTTGGCACTTGCCAACTATGAAGAGGATTTATGTATAACAAAAAATAGGTAGATAAACATTTCAATTAACTATTAGATGTGCTAATCATTATCGTATCTTTGCTACATTATTCCTCCTACCGTATGACCTAGCCTGGAAAAAATAAAATAACAGAGAAAAAGGAAAGGAAAGAGAAGATGGAACAAAGATACATAGTAAGAAGAGTTCAGTGAAGTAGAGGGAAATTTAGAAGTGGGGAGGGGAGATGGGGGGAAGCAAGGGGGGGGGGGCAAAACAGCTACTCTGCCGACACAGGAGTCCCCGCTAGCGAGGATGTTTTACCTTATGATTCGTACTTGGGCGGGGGAGGGCCCTCATTCTCCTCTCGAGCCAACTACACTATTGTCCCATGGTTCCCAGGTTTTATGAAATGTCGTGATGTTCCCTCTCACCCTCGCCGTTAGGTTATCCATTACTCTACATTCTTTAATTCTAGATAGAACCCCTGTGAATTCTGGGCCCTCTAGTGTAAGCCATGCTGACGCTATTGCTCGGCGCGCACACAAAGTGATTTTGTGTACTAATTTCTGCTCCCGTTTGGTCCATCCATCAATTGATCTATTCAACAAATATATCCACGGGTCCATTTTCAGAGGTCTATCAAACGTCTGTCTCAACAGGTCCTCCACCGACTTCCAGAAACCCAGTAGCCTCGAGCTCTCCCACCACATGTGTATGTACGTCCCTCGCGCTCCACATCCTCTCCAGCATTCGTCTGTCTCCCGTTTGTGCATTCTATGAAGTTTGACTGGGGTAGTATACCATCTGAACATAGTTTTCCATGCCTGCTCCTGAAAGGTGACACAAATG